GGACTAAGAAGATACCAAACGAATTTGGATTTAGAAAACAGAGGGTTTAATGAAAATTAGACCTCCCAAGACATGCGTCAGAATGAAGCTGTAACGTTGATTTTAACAAAATTGAAACATAACTAAAATTTTAGAAGAGTAGATGAAACTAAACTTCAGAATAAATGTGCCAGGATAAAACCGGACCACAAAAAGGGGCAAGATAAGACTCAAACCACAGAGAGTAGGAGAAACTAAACTCTGGAAAAGTACGCGAGGCAAAGTGGCTAGAGTGCGTGATTCTAGGGGAACCTACTAATCTCAACCTAAGATAGACAGTATGAAGGAAATGAAAGAATCCCAAGAGTGAGGAACAAAACGAGAAAAAACTCGACCCAATAACTACTTAGACGACACTAAACTAGATGAGTACTAGGAAAAAATTGGATTTCACGCACGGGTAATGAGGAGAAACTCGAGCCATAGCAAAAGTGATGAGAGTGCGTGTTTCTTAGAGCACCTGTCGGTCTCAGATCAATTGATAAACAGTAACACAAGATTTTGGATTTTCATTATGTTTTGCATGATTTCAAATGTTGCACATTTTCTTTTAAACTTATGATGGGCCATGTATTGTGGATTTGAATTGTTGTTAAGGCTAGAATGCCATTGAACTAATTTTATGTTGATTTTCCACTGCTGAATAACCATTTTTGGACACGAAGTAATAAAGTATTTTGAGAACTTTATGGACTTTATGATTTATGTGGCATCCCATTGTGAACTCTGATGCATTTGTCGTATATTTCATTATAAATATTCATATGGGAAAATGGGGGTGTTACATAATATGTCTCATCCAACAAGAACGATCACATATAATGCATACAAAAGCAATAATATGATTTTGAATATTGATGACAGTAGCCTCAGTAATCCTGACGTATGAGGTTTTGGTGGATTGGTTTGAAATACCGATGGTACTTGGGATCACGATTTTATGGATAATATTGGTTATTCTAATATCCTTGATGTTAAGCTGATTATGATATATCATGGTTTGTATATGGCCTAGGAACTTGCCATCCAAGACCTGATGTGTTATTCTGACTCCAACTCTGTTATCAAGCTTATCTTAGAGTCTGTTAATGCTTGATATCACTATGCTGAAATTATTCACAATATTAAAGTGTTTATCTCTAAGGAATGAAGAGTTCAAATATTACATACTCTCAGGGAGGGGAATGCTTGTGCTGACTATGTAGCAAAATATGGAGCTAATAATGATGTGGCGTACCGGTCTTTTGCGGATCTTCCTGTTGGAATCATCACTCTCCTACTAGTTGATTCTAGTGGGACTCTATTTTCTAGATAATTTCTTTCTTTTTTCTTTTTCTTTTCCCACCGCAAAAAAAATTTACTACTGTGTTATTATTATTCTAGAATTGGTGGGTTGTCCTAAAACAAAGACATAGTTTTTTCTAGAGTTTTGGTGTAAATTTCTATGTTGGGGTTTTTCAGAGTTTCTTGAATGAAGGAATGATTTATCCCTGATGATCAGGTGCTGGCCAACTTAGACAAGACAACAACCCAAATGTTTTGTTATATTATATCATGCAATATTTTTGATATTTTGAACTTCTCCAACTTTCTCTATGGCCAAAATAACATACCATTCCAGCAACGACCCTTTGGTCTGGTTTTCTACCTTAATTAGTGAAATCACAAGATGGGAGTCTGTCTTTATCCTGGTACTTTCTGCCCCTATTTTGGCGGCTAATGTGAAGTCAACGATGACTACTTCATACTCTGCCTAATTATTGGTGGTAGGAATATCCCAACATAAAAATACTTCAATTATCAGGCCTACTTCGCTTTCTAGAATGATCCTGGATCCACTTCCATGACTGTTAGATAACCCATCTATATATACTACCCAAGTATGAGCCGACTCTGGTGTGCCAGAGGTCATTTATGCTATGAAATCTGTGAACAATTGTGCCTTCAAGGCTTTCTTCGACTCATAACAAACATAAAATTCAAACATTTTGATGGGCCATTTTGTTAGCTATTGCCTAGATCTAGTTGGTGGAGCACCCACTTCAGTGGTCTATTGGTTTTGACGATTATAACATATGCCAAGAAATAATGTCGTAGCTATTTGGTGCCGTTAGTAAGGCTAGGACCACCTTGTCTATATTTTGATACGGTATCTCTGGCTTGACCAAGGATTTAGAGATGATGTAGACCAAACTTTGGTGACCGTCTAGTTCCCTTACGAGGACGACGTAAAATGGATCCTCATATATGACTAGATAATGGTACATATAATCTCCTACTATAGGGCGAGATAACACTAGTGGAGTTGATAGAGCCATCTTCAAGGATACAAATGCTTATTGGCACTCTGGAGTCCACTCGAAAATCATTTATTTCTTTAACAACTTTTAAAAGGGGAGAGCATGTTGCGTGGACCTCAAAATGAATCTGTTTAAAGTTGTTAGCATCCCGTTCAATTTCATGACTTCCTTCTTTGTTGTAGGTATCGTCACACAAATGACCGCCTCACATTTGTTCACATTCACTTCCATGCCTCTCTCTTTAAGGTAAAAATCCATAAACCTATTGGCTCTTACCTCGAAGGCACATTTCTCTAGATTGATCCTCAAATTATACTACTAAACTCTTCGAAAGAACTGAGCGATATGCTGGTCGTATAACCCTTCTTCGACGGACTTGACAGTCATGTCGTCCATATACACTTCTAATGTTTCACCTATATTTTCTTTGAAAAAATTATTCATCAAACGTTGGTATGTAGCTCCTGTATTTTTCAAACCAAAGGTCATCACGTAGTACTGGTAGTTGGCTTGCTCGGTCATGAAAATAATTTTATTTGTCTCGTGCATTGGTATTAGATTATAGTCGGATTATGCATCCATAAATGATAGAAGCTTGTACCCAACTGAGTTATCAACCAATTTGTTTATACTCGAGAGTGGATATGAGTCTCTGAGACATGCTTTATTTAGATCAATATAATCAATATACATTCTCCATTTTTCTGAGGCTTTCTTGACTAGCACCACTTAGATAGTCAGTTGGTGTATTTCACTTCAGAAATGAAATTAGCATCTAGTAAACCTTGGACTGTCTTTGTTGTCTCTTATGCTTTCTCAAGGGACTATCACCTTCTGCTCTAGGACACATACCGTGTGCAAGGATCAATGTTCAAGTGATGTCATACTACACTAGAATCTATGCCAAGCATCGCATGGGGAGAGATGGAGAAGTAATCATCATTGACTCTCAAACATTTAACTAATCCTTCCTTTACTTTGGTAGTAGGCTGACTCATATTCTTACCGACCTCATCAGATTATCGTCTAGCTAGACAGCTTCAAAGTCTCCATCAAGAACTGTTCTTAGGGCTTTTGTCTTGATCCCAGTCGAGGGGCCTAACTTGTCTCCCTGTAGGGGTTCATTTTTACAAATGTCAAAGTCAAGTACTTCTGATGCTCCATCACCTTCCCCAACTCGTCCTCCAGGAAAGACTGCTACTGTCAATAGATTCTTCAATATTGCTTCCTATATTCGATTTGCTCTCTGAAGGGTGACTTTGACTACAACATGTCTGCCAACATCATTGTGGTACTTTATCTTTAGGTGGACAGAGGATGCCATGATGTCTAAAGCTTCCAAAAAATAGTCGCTCGAGAATATCATTATAAATACTATCACACAATATCACAAATAAACAAACATTCATTGTCCTCTTATCATTTCTGTCGTCTAAGAAGACCGAGAAGTATGCCTGTCCTGACAGACGAGTAGAAGAATCATTGAACGCTAGGAGGATATGACTGTAGTACGACCTCACATCTTGTTTCTTTAAGCCAAACTCAGTGAAAATTCTAAAGTAATTCAGATTGTAGGAACTTCCATTATCTACGAGGATCCCTTTGGCAGAAGGATTAATAATGGTAGCAGTAATTTTCAATGGAAGAGTAACATTCAGAATTCCTTCCACCTTCTCATGATCTTGAAACTCTAAGATTGGTCTTTCATGTTCTTGCTTATTATTTAAATAGGCTATTCTAAGAGATCTTTGCGATGGAGGCTTTACTTGCCTGATCGGGTCTCCATCGACCATGTCTATGACAAAGGTTGAAGAGGAACTTGATTTGGAGAATTTTGAAGGATCATTTGGGAGGAGATTCGAAGATGCTTCCATCTTACAGAATTGGTCAAAACATTTGATGTTTGAATTGAAGGAAATTCAATTGAAATAGGAAATAACATGTTGAATCAGAGATCTGATTGTGGAAATTCATAAGAATTAAAAGTCAATTTCCACATACGACACAATTGTTTCGTTTTGGAATTCTAGAAGCAGTGTTACGAGTTGTTTTTGAATGAAAAGGATAGAGTGAATTATAGATTGAATCATACTTCTCTTTTATTGTTCACGACAATTGGGTCTATTGCCGGTCCAAAACAAAAACTATTGAAGAAAAGCCAACAAATAATAGGTATTGATAAATTTCTCAACAAAAAAAATCACATACTAGTAGCTAAAAGAGAACAAGGAAAAAACTATGATGATCAAGTTTTTGTCATGGGGAATTTCGTCAAGGAAAAAACAATTTAAATGGTTGAGATATAGACTGGACTCTACCTCCCATGAAATTTTCGCTCGAGAGCATCGGCTCCCTAATGAGATTGGGAATTCCTCGAGCGATAGTTACACACAGTGGGACACATGCACACAATTGCTGACAAATACTTCAGAAATTTATGCAAGAACTACATGTAAAGCATCACTTCCACTTCAATAGATAACCCTTAAACTTCAAAACAAATTGGCATATCAAAGACAGTGTAGAATCTGATTTAAAATTTTGAATCACCAGTTACATATACAATATGAAAAGGGACAAAAAAAAAATCTGAATTTCATAAACATATGAACAAAATTTAGCTGTATATGATATAAAAGTATGAACAAAATTTCACATTTTTCATTGTATTGTAGTAGTAAGCATACACTTTGAAATAAAAATACTACTAGTAGAATAATTCACACTACACATTTTCAAAAACTCAGATGACATCTGTTTCAAAACAGGATTACAACCACTTTGAATCACAAGCAATAGTTTTGAAGCCAATCCAGCTTCCACAGCCTTTGAAGCACATTCTTCAGGTGCAAGTTTGTAAATAGCCCACAAAATTGACAATGCAAATTGTGTACAATTTTCTGAAACTCTCATCAACATCTTCACCACATTTGGTATAATGTTTGGACATTCTTTCAATGCCAATTTCCCTTCTTCAAGTGTTGACAATATCTCCAATATATAAAGTGCTATCTCCAAACACTCATTGTTCAAACTTGGTAAAATCTCAATCAATTGAGGTATTGCTCCTATGCTTATCATAGAAGTTCTTATTGATTCATGACTACATAGTACTTTTTTAATCAATGTGAGACCAATTAAAATCCCATTTTGATGTTTCTTGTCTCTCACCAATCTTAACAATCCAACCAAAAGACTCAAACTTGACACAATCTCAATCTTGGTTTCTTTTTCTTCCATCAACAACATTTGAATCAATTTAGCACAATTCATCTTTGTTTCAATTGTTCCTTCATTCATGATATCAACAATCAATGAAACTTTGGATGGACGCATAAGATTCTTTCTCTTGAAATCTGAACTCAAATCCAAATTCACAATGATACCAATAGCTTCACAACCAACAACATGTGAAGTAAAAGGACCTAACAAAGATGAAACCAAACCAACCCCACCATTTTCCAACAATGTTTTTCTTGCACAAACATGAGAAACAACAAGTTTTCTAAGATCCTTAAGAGCTTTCACTCTACTTTGACCCTTCACCTTCTTAAGTGTCTCCAATGTTTCCAAAACTCTTCCTTCAACATCTTCAAGCTTCTTCTTCATTTCCAAGTACTTTTGTGAGAACCAAGTGAGGATCAAGTGTTTGAGAGTGTTGTTGGGTGTGATTGATTCATCCCAAAGCTCTTGCATTGTTGTTGGACATGTTTTGTGACCAAGTGAAAACCATTTAAGGATGTTGGATCTATCGTAGGTTTGACCAGTGCAAAGAGTCACAGGCTCTTGCATTGGCTCAAGTGAAATTGGACATATGAAAACCGAAGGAACATCAATTGAATCCATCTCTTCAATCAACAACTTCAGATCCAGTTTCTCACTATCCAACACACTAAAAACACAACCTTTGAAAGATGTTTCAAAACCCATCAAAGCATCATAGGAAGGCATTGTTGAATGTTGAACGTTGAATGTTGAATACGTACCCTTTTGAAGAAAAATTGTGTTTGATGAAGAGAGAGGGGGTAAGAAAGGTGTGTAAGGATAAGAAGCGTGTGGGAAAGAAAAGGAAGGTTGAATGAAAATGCTGTCAAAGGGACAAAGTTTTTTTAGCTTTTGCTTTTTCTAACACTTTCTATGGTCAAAAAAGTAGAAACTTGCTTATTGCTTATTCATCGACTATGACATGATTGAGTCTTCTTCACTAACACCAAGGCACTCTTCATCTTCAAGCTCTTCAAAAAGTAAGATATCATCATATTACCCACATGAACAAAATAGCATTAAAAAGTTTCATTTTCATGACAAGAACAACAAAATGAATTATAGAAACAAAGTTGTTTATTTTATTATATTTTATTGATGTGTGTGAGAAAGCACGGGTTCACGTTGGAGCATTAGTGTAACTTTGTTGTTCCCACGTGCAAAGAGTGTACTTTGACTAACTGACATCTAAGAAACAATGGATAATCGATGTATCTTGTTTAAATATATTAAATAATTAATATATTTTATACAAATAATTATATATTAGAGTCATTGACGCAATGTAGAGGGTGATTGAAGTTTGATTGTGGGGAATAGTGTGGTCCCAGTAGGGGACAGTCTTGAAGTTGAAGAGGGAACCTGGGACAGATAGTCAAAAAGGTAAATAGATGCCAACAACCACACAATTGAATTAGAGTCACTGGTCCAACCGGGAATCATTTGAATTTCAAATAATAATACTACTAGTGGATTACTACTCTTCTCTTCTTGGGATGCTTCCCTTTTTATTTTGGATATGCTTTAAAATAAACTTTTTTTTTTTTTTATATAGAAAAGACTACCTTTATTTTTGTTTGACCCGTGGGGTTATTAGTTGTACAGTATTAAAGAGTGTTTTTAATGCAATTTAAATTATATTTTAGAGTATCACTTTCGTTCCATTTGAATGAGTTTTTAAAATGGTATATTATTTAGTTGTTTTTCGAGTTCCGCATTCACTTTATCGCCTAAATACATTTAAAAATATTTCACAATTATTTTATTATTTAAATGTTTTAATTTTTTAATTTATATATTTAGTAGTACAATTATTTTAAATGACTGATATAAAAATATTAGAACAAAACAAAATCTTTTTCAAATTAACTATAATTTAATAGTTATAAATTTTATACAAATAGATTTTAAATTTTTTGGTTGTTTGTCTGACATACTTATTTTTAAAATATGTCGTTTATGTATAATAAATCTAATTATTAATGTTAAAAGGCTTATAAATGAGAAAATTTTATTTTATATTATAAACACATATATCTTATTATTCTAACTAATTTCAACTATATAACTTATTTCAAGATATTATGAAGTGTAAAATTCATTTAGAACTAAAATTTGACGGGAAACTGTCATATATTATAGGTTTGTAAAAATTATAAATATGATATAATAAGGATTAAAGAAATATTTAAAAAAAGCATTTATTTTTAATAAATATTAAACATAAGAACTAAAGTATTTGTAAAAATCATGATTACCCTTCTTATTATAAATTATAATTTTTTTATTACAAAGTTAAATATTTAATTTATCATTATAAAAATATAAGAATAAAAATTATTTTGTAATTGGTTAGATATTTATTTGAAATAATATATATTTCAAAATTATTTATATTTTTATAGAAAGGTTAATAAAACAAAATAAAATCAATTGAGATTTTGTAATTTTTTCAAACTTATGAAATAACTAAACATATCAAAATCTTTTTAAATTAATTTTATAATTGTAATCATGATAACAAAATGTTAAATGGTAGTCATGAAAATTTAATGATAAATGATAATCATAAAAAATTAATGATAAATGATAATCATAAAAAATTAATGATAAAAGATAAAAATTTATTAATACATTCATTTTTATAAATTGAACAAGTTACAATTGTTTTCATAAAGGGGAATAAATTACAAATAATTTCATAAACATAATAAACTCAATTATTTGTATAAATGAGAATAAGTTATATATATTGAAAAGTCGTACTAAATTAAAAAATATTTATTAAAAATCGAATATAATAAAATATAAGAAATAAAAAATAATTTTGAAATATTACGTATGATTAATTGTAATAACAAATATTACATTATTATTTAATATTATAATTAATTTTTCGGTATTCTTAGATTTTATTTTTTATTTCTTTCTATATATATATATATATATATATATATATATATATATATATATATATATATATATATATATATATATATATATATATATATATATATATATATATATATATATATATATATATATATATATATATATAAATGATATATTATTATTTAATATTGTAGTTTTTATTTTCAATAATAAATTTATTTTAATTAGTTAGAATATTTATTTTACTTGACAACAAATTAACTATACATTACAATATAAATTCAATATATATTATTAATACATCATATTTATTTATAAGCATAATTAAATATGAGACACATATTTATCAATGTTGAATAAATAAATTTAAGATGATACGACAAATATTTATTTTTACGATCATTTTTATAAACATAAATAACTTACAAATGTTTTTATAAACAATAAAAATTCAACTATTTATTCAATTGTTATTAACATGAATAAGTTAAAAATATTTTTATAAATAGTCACACAGGTTCAAATAATTTATAAACGAGAAAAATTCTACATGTTGATATAATTATTTGTAGAAACAAAAATAAGTTACAATAACTTTTATAAACAAGAATAAGTTACAAATATTTTTATAAACGAAAAAAGTTCAACTATTGATGCAATTGTTTTTAACATGAATAAGTTAAAATATTTTTATAAATTGTCACACGGGTTCAAGATACTTATAAACGGGAAAAATCTATATATTGATATAATTTCTTTTACAAATGAAAGTAAGTTACAATAATTTTTATAAACAGTAATAAATTAGAAATATTTTTATAAGCAAGAAAAATTTAACATTGATACAATTATTTTTACAAACGGGGATAAGTTTCAATTATTTTTATAAACGGGAAATTCAAAGTTGATAAATGATTATATATTATAAGTATATGAATGTTAACTAATTGAATACATGAAATGGATTCACGAGTATATGTGAACGTATCTCTGAGATACCAGTTGTAGATTGTTCATTTTAATCTCCATCTTTTAAATCTTGCTATTTTATATAATTGAAGTTAGAGAATCGAATGTACAGTTTATTATAAGTACATGTCAATGGTTAAAAGTTGGTGTATATTATAAGTACGGTTTGTGACTATGGGAATGTTAACCAATTGAAGAATGAATTCAAACTTTATAAATGATAATTTGATAGACGTCTAATGTGATTCTAGACGAGACCCGTGTGTTAGCACGAGTTACTTACCAGTGAGTTTTTAAAAGCTACATATTATTTAGTTGTCTTATGGGACTCTATAACGACCTGTGATTCTGCACCGACATCCTCGTCTAACTCGTGGTGCGTTTCGACGATTTTACTGTTGCGGTTGGGTTAAGGGCCCTGCGAAGTCAATGCGTTCAGGATCTATGAAATTCGTCATCAAATTCTGATATAAGATATGTGATGTCGAAGGAGATGTCATGACATAAATATCTGAGGACAATATAAAATGCAACAATATTAAAAGCAGTAAAAACACAAGGGATTGTTAACCCAGTTCGGTGTACAACAACACCTACTCTGGAGGCTACCAAACCAGGGACAAGTCCACTAAATAGTAACAATTCATAGATCCTCAGTAAACAACCAGTTTATGATATAATCACTTAATCGCTACCCGTGCTATACTTCTACCTAAGACACACCTAGGTATGAGGCCCTCCTCAAATCCCTTCAATCACTAACAGTGAAAAACAACAGATTTTTCAAGTTTTAAAAACTCCAATCATTCAATACTTAAAACTTTATGAATGATCCACAAATTACAACTCAAATTACAACTGAAGTATTGAAACAATACTAGAGTGTATTATAATTAAAATATTCAGACTTCTAAAGCACACATAGTATATTTTTCTTCAATGTTGCAATAGTACGAATAAGGATGCAAGTCCTTATAAAGGCGCATCAACTTTTTTTATGGGCTTGGGCTGAAAAACCAATATTTTAATATGTTGAATCCCTTAAAAATCTTCATGAAAGTAGGCCAAGATATAAACCATAAAGATGAGACAGACTGAAAAATATTCCTCCACATTTTTCGCAAGTTATAACCCATAAATCCTGAATAAGGCACGCTTAAAAATAGGAAACAGAAAATCTGAAAACACGTTCAGATCAACAGGAAGATTTTAAGACATCTGCTTTGACATCATTCAAAATCATTTGAGATGTTTTACTTCAAATGTAAAGACATTAAGCAAAACATTACCAAAGTAGTGTTTTACCAAAATTGTTGCCAACAAACACTTACAAACTCCCCCCTTTGGCAAATTTTGGCTAAAACAATATTTGAGCACATTATCAGAGCAGCAACAGAAAAAAAAACCAGTTAGCAGAAACTCAGTTAGCAGTTAGCAGTGGAAGATGTTAGGACATCTTCTGAGACATGGAGCACCCCCTCAAACAATGAAGCTCCCCCTCAAACTTAGTAGTCATTCAGTCAGATCTCTCCCCCTTTTTAGACATAATATGAAAAATAACATGCATACAAGAGAGTAATAGTAAAATAAGTACATACCAGAATATCCAAGTATCAAGCACATACAAGTGCCAAAAATAACATATGGATCAAAAAAAGAAGAAGGCACCAACACAGAGTCTAACTATCTTCAAGACCAGTAGACTTGTTAGTTTCAGAACTTCCTTCATTATCAGAATCTCCTCCTTCAGTACCCACATTGGTATCCTTCTGCAGATCCTTGATCAAGTTTTCAAATTTTAGCTTCCTTGATGAGCTAACTCTGAT